TCAGCCTGTGCTCACAGGCTTCACACCAGAATCTATTCTCAGTCCCCCAAACAGGATGCAGCAGCATGTTCTTCTTCCATTAATGACCAACTTTCCAGTGCTCTTTCAGAAAGTCAGCAGCTATCTACTTTGGATCATAAGTCTGTTATGCCTTCCTGTCCCTTTGAGTGCACTTACCACTATCATGGCCTGAATTATGTTTGTTCTTCCTCTGCAGAAAACAACCAATCAATATAAACTACCTCAGCTAGCAGTGCTTATGTAGCTTCTTCTCAGCTTCCTGGACGTCAACATGTCTTTTCTGAACCTCCTAATTGCTTCAAAAACACCAATGCGACCTGAAGATAATATTCCAAGAGTTATAACTGCTTTCCAAGGTTCTAACACTTCACCTATTTGATCACCTTTCCTTACCTCTGATGGTTCTTGTTGCACACGCACCCTGTAGTTCTCCTACCCTTGGACATTCATTTTTGCAGAGGACAGGGATGGATGCAATATTCAGAACCAAGGGAATATGGTATTGCAAAACTCTATAGCTCATTTTCATTTTGAGATTCAGATTGGAAGTATTGCAAAACTCTACAGTTCATTTTCATTTTGAGATTCAGATTGGATGTGAGGAGAAATGTTTTCCCTGTGAAGGTGTTGAGGCACTGGGATATTTCCCAGGGAGGTGGTGGAGTCACCATCCCTGGAGGTGTTGAAGAGGTGTCTGGATGTGACACTGGAGGATCTGGTTTAGGGTTTAGGGGTTCCAGCAGTGACAGGTTAATGGTTAGACTGGATGATCTCAGAAGTCTCCTCCAGCCTTGATGGCTCTATGATTCTGTGACATGATTTTCAAAATCCAACGTGCTTGTTCCTCACCAAACACTGATCCCACATATTCATCATATAATTTACCAGAACTTCAAGATTTTTCTTGGGTGCTAGCAGCTCACTTGGAGTACCCATTGCACCTAGTTTGGTTTTCACCAATTATTAACCCATGGGAGGACTGTCCCATTCCACCACCCCTCAGTTTCTTTAACAGGTTGACTAAGGACCTTGATAATCAATTTTTTTTTGTTATCTTTAAGTAATCCAAGGACATTGCTCTGATTAGATAATCCTTATCCACATGGTTGTTGACTCTTTCAAAACATGACTTTGAAAAGACATTAACTTTGTAACTTCCCTTTTCCCCTCCCTCCAGAAAGGCCCTGTTCAAGCTCATTATCATAGAGCCATCAAGGCTGGAGGAGGCCTCTAAGAGCATCCAGTCCAACCATTAACCTGTCACTGCTGGAACCACTAAATCCTAAACCAGACCCTCCAGTGTCAGATCCAGATGCCTCTTCAACACCTCCAGGGATGGTGACTCCACCACCTCCCTGGGCAATATCCCAGTGCCTCAACACCTTCACAGGGAAAACATTTCTCCTCACATCATGTCAAATCTGGAAGAGTACAGCAGTAAGTGATTATTCCCTTTCCCTTCAGCACTCTTTAAGCTTTTACAGCAGAAGTTTTTTTAGAGCAGAGTGACAAGTTAATGGTTGGACTCTGATCTTAGAGGTCTCCTCCAGCCCTGATGATTCTATGCTGTCCCTAGATTACTCTGTTGAGTTTTGGGGTCCACAGTGCTAGAGAGGCACCAACAAACAGGAGAGAGTGCAACAGGAAAGCACTAATATGGCTCAGGTACTGGAGCACATTCTGTACAAGGGGAAGCTGAGGGAGCTTGGTGTGTGCAGCCTGTGGAAGAGAAGGTTAAGGTGGAGCAAGGGGTGTTAGTTGTGGAAATCTAATCAGAGCCTTCAGCTATGAAATGGAGAGTTATAGAGATGACAGAGGCCATGACAAAATGAGAAGAGTCACAAACTGCTGCACAGCAAAGTCCAACCAGGACAGAAAAAAATCACAATGACAAAGGTAATGCACAGCAACAGGCTGAAAAGATTCCCTGGAAAAAACACAGAAAAATAGGACAGAAAAAAAAATCACAATGACAAAGGTAATACACAGCAACAGGGTGAAAAGAAGATTCCCTGGAAAAAACACAGAAAAATTCAACAGCTGAAGGTTCTATGCTTCAAAGCTGGCCCTGGCTGGAAGGTAGGGTTAGATCAGAAGGCCTCCAGCTAGTATTAATTTGATTTTCTGAACAGAAATAGCTATCTCACAACTAAAACATCTGTGTGAAGGGAAGAGCATGTTTCCTTATGTATGTTTCTTTCAAGTTTTTAATCCCATTAAAGTTTCCTGTGGTGCTGTGCCAGAGCTAATTCAATCAACCAAACCAACCTGGCTCTACACTGAGATCTGTACAGCTCACACTGACTGGGAAGGAAACATAAATGTAAGAACACACACTGCAGAGTTCAAAGCCAAGTCAAAGTCAACCTGTAAAAGTTACAGACTAAGCAGAAAAAAGTGTAACTGTTCAATACACACACAAAAAGAAAATAAAATTATGCATTAAAAAAGGGTATTTTCAATTTGTCTATGCCAAAGTGTACTCATAAAAATAGAAAGCAGAACTACTTCCTAATTTGCCTCACATCCAAACATTTTTCCCCTGCTCATCAGCATTTACAAAGCCTCCTAATGTGTGGATTTTGGTTTGTTCAGTACACAAGCAGAAATAATTTTATTATCGGAGCTTTGCTAGTGACTGACAGCTCAGTTTCTCAAAGGAATGTTACTAATCATTTCTTAATTGCTGTTGCTCTTAGCAGCAATCACTGCAATCCAAACAACCCTGTGCTTTGTGGACAACACAGAGTGTGCGTAACAGCATGTAAAAATTAAAACCACAAGTCTGCAAACAGTTTTGCTGGCACCAACTCTTCTTCCTTTCCAAACTGAAGCACTTACTAATACTGCTCTGACACAGCTATTTTTTTTCCCCTAAAAAATCACAGAATCATAGAATTTAAGGGTTGGAGTGGACCTTAGATATCATCTAGTCCCAACCCCTGCCCTGGGCAGGGACACCTCCTCACTAGATCAGATTGCTCTAGGCCTCAAGACTTTGCAAACACAGGAAAGAGCCATGTAAAGCATGGAAAAAAATGCATACAGAAGGATATTACTAGTACAAAAATTCTCAAGGGTCCTAAACATTTGCCAAACTATTCTAATTCATTGTAAAACTTCATTAATATGATGTTCTAGAATACCTTCAAACATAAGATAATGATACAGATGGAATCAAGGTTTGTCCTGCCATGGCTGCAGGGAGAGGACTAGAGGGAATGGCCTTGAGCTGAGCCAGGGCAGAGTCAGATTGGATGTGAGGAGAAATGTTTTCCCTGTTGTGGTGTTGAGGCACTGGGATATTGCCCAGGGAGGTGGTGGAGTCACCATCCCTGGAAGTGTTGAAGAGGCATCTGATCTGGCACTGGAGGATCTGGTTTAGGGGTTCCAGCAGTGACAGGTTCATGGTTGGACTTGATGATCTCAGAGGTCTCCCCCAACCTTGATGGTTCTATGGTTCTAAGGAGCAATGCCATATAAAACTTGCACAGCAAAAGCAGCAGCACCTTCAACAAAACCTGTTATTCATCTGTCTACAAACAACTAAGTGCTCTCTTTGGTTACTGGTTGCATTTAGAGGACAACTGTCGAACTGACCCTTTGCTTGCACATAAAAACAAATCCAAGAACGTCATCAAAACGAATTCCTTGCAGGAATTCTAGCAGTTTGAAGGACTGGTGATACAGACAACTATCAACATGTGAACCTGAGAAGCCACAGAAGAAAAATGCAGCAGATCTAAAACCAGGGAAAGAATGCCTTCTGCAGACAAGGTGGTGGATATTTGGTCTTCAGAGTCAGGGTGGACAAGGCCTTGAGCAACCTGCTCTGGTGGGAGGTGTCCCTGCCCAGGGCAGGGGGTTGGGACTAGATGATCTGTAATGTCCATTCCAATCCCTAAAATTCTGTGATCTCTTGAAAAACTGACTATGAAACAGTAGTGACTTTGAATTCAGTGTGCATGGCAAAGAGGATGGGCTGAGGTACAGCCTGGCCCAGGAGCAGACATCCCATTTGTTCTAGGGGCTGCACCACTTTAAAAGTCAAAGAGAGAGCAGTCAACAGAAAAACAAGTCAGATTCCCAATAAGGGCATCTCTAACAAACTAAGACTTGTCAATCTGTCTTCTGGCATAGAAGACATATTGTAGAGGTGAGAGCTTGCTTTGGCAAGAAGGTAATTTTGCACTTTCTGTATTATTAGAACCAAAAAATCCCGAACTTACCTAAGGGAGAAGTTTATCAGAATGCAAAGTAATTACTACCATCACTTGCAACAGAATCACATAACAATCAGAGCTGGAAGGGACCCTTGAGGATCATCCAGTCCAACCCCTGGCCCTGCACAGGACATCCCTGACAATCACACCCTGTGCCTGAGAGCATTGGCCAAACACCTCTGGAGCTCTGTCAGCCTTGGGGCTGTGCCCACTGCCCTGGGAGCTGTTCAGTGCCCAAACACCTCTGGGGGAAGAACCATTTGCTAATCTCCAGCCTAACCCTCCCCTGACACAACTTCAGCCCATTCCCTGGGTCCTGTCCCTGGGTGCCAGAGAGAAGAGGTCAGTGCTGCCCCTGCACTTCCTTCCCTGAGGAAGTTGTATCCAGCCATGAGCTCTGTCCTCAGTCTCCTCTTCTCCAGGCTGAACACACCAAGTGACCTCAGCCACTCCTCATGTGGCTTCCCATCAAGGCCCTTTGCCACCTTTTTTTTCCTGATTGGCCTGAGGCACTGCCAAAACTCAGGGAGTTTGATCTTTCAAGTAAAAACAACACTACACTGCAAAAGTTACTTGGCACTAAACAAAAAGAACAAAACAATCTTACAGCTAGGCAGTGTTGAAATGTAAAGAGTCCAAATACACCCTCAAATTTTGTGTCTTTGATTTTTTCAATTACTGAATTTGAAATGTAAATATAATTAGCACATAAAATACGAAGCATTAGAAGTGGAAGAGGTGAAAGGAGCTAAGGACAGACTTGACAAGTATTTTCTAGTTGCATACCAATAATGCCACCTACTGGTGTGACACAAGATCCAGGTTTTCTTTTTGAGGAGTTTTAAAATTAAGAGGTTTAATTCCACTACAAATTTAAACACTGTTGGTTAACTTTTCCCTTGAACTTAGCTGGAGCAGCTAATTTCTTTCACCCAAATTTCTTCATAAGCAAAGGGCAGGATTAGAATGGAACAGTGTTCTACTTAACAGAATCATGGAATCATCAAGGCTGGAGGAGATCTCTAAGATCATCGAGTCCAACCATTAACCTGTCACTGCTGGAACCCCTAAACCCTAAACCAGATCCTCCAGTGCCAGATCCAGATGTCTCTTCAACACTTCCAGGGATGGTGACTCCACCACCTCCCTGGGCAATCTGAATATGGCAAGGACCAGAACATAGTCTTCTTCAAAATGGAACCTCCAAAACAGCCCAATTTCTTCATTTCTAAAATTCACTGCTGTCCTGGGTTGCAGTGTGGGGGGTATCCATGGAATGTATTCTATTATCACCTCCACAAGCTGTTAAAGCAGGTGGGGCAGTGATCGTTATCACTTTGTCCCTCCCTCAGGGCAATCCTGATGGCTCCCTCAGGGGCTGTCTCTGATTAACAGGCTGTCAAGGACCCATGAACGACACATCCTCCCAGTGATCCTTATCCCCTTGTCCCATGGTGAGGGGACTCACCCCAGGGGTGGGGAGCCAAACATGCTCACAGGGATATAAACTG